ATTTAATGACTTTTTATGACGTCATTACAGTCCATTATAAAAATATAAGAAATAATACAAATAAAAGCAGAGGGGGAAATATCTGTGGTACGAATACTGTGCCAGGTTAAAATACTTTAGGACTACTACTTCCACTTGACGACACATAATAGCTTTGTATACAAAATATCCATTAACGACGAAACCCAAACCAACGACAGCAAGGATACATTTGACACCGAATACCGTCTTTTACTTTTACATTCTTATCATTGGATGAGTGCAAAAGAAACCGAGAGAGGAATGACTCTATTGAACGAGAGATTACTGCAAATGTAACTGTAGGCGTTTTTCAGGGCACTGCAAGTCACTTTGGATGAAAGCGTTGATACGACGTCATTCATTTGTGATCGGAGAATCTCCACCCGTCTGTGTGTGAGCGAGCGCCTAAAGCTCGGCGTCTCTTCAGAGCTAAACATTCACTCAGGAGTACATTCGTTTGTGTGTGGCGCCTGCAGACCTGGGACAAATAAACCTGCATGTACACACTGCTTTTTGGATGGACAAATATGCATTAACAGCTCTGCGAAAAGTGACAAAAAACACTTTCCGGACACGAGTTAGTGGCATGCTGTACTTTGATAAAGCCTGATTTTGTTATATATGTTTGTTATTGTCAACAAATCCCATAAAAATACCAAAACCAATAGTTTCTCTCTGACCTCCATACATATCGTTTAGGATGAAAAAATGTTATTATAACCCAAAGTAGTTAAAACGAACTAGTCCTAAACCTTCCTAAATGTTCCCACACCACACCGCTCCTCCGCTCCCTTCACTGGCTTCCAGCAGGGGCGGACTGGCCATTGGGAATACCGGGAGTTTTCCCGGTCGGCCGGTCGAGTTCCCCGGGCTGATTTTTAGTCCCAGTCCGCCCCTGGCTTCCAGTAACTGCTAGAATCCACTTCAAGACACTGATACTTACGTACCATGCTGTGAATGGATCTGGCCCTTCCTACATCCAGGACATGGTTAAACCATACACCCCAGCACGTGCACTCTGCTCTGCATCAGCCAAACGGCTCGCTGCACCCGCACTGCGAGGGGGACCCAAGTTCCCATCAGCAAAAACACGTGGGTTTGCTATCCTGGCTCCAAAATGGTGGAATGAGCTCCCCATTGACATCAGGACAGCAGAAAGCTTACACATCTTCCGGCGCAGACTGAAAACTCATCTCTTTCGACTCCACTTCGAGCGATACAACTAACAAAGCACTTATATACTAACAAAGGACTGGCTTATCTAAAGCTAGTTGAGTAGCACTTGAAATGTTTTGGCTCTATGAAACCTGATGTACTTATATGATTCTGTTTTCTTCTAGTTTGTATCTTCTTGGTCGAATGCACTTATTGTAAGTCGCTTTGGATAAAAGCGTCAGCTAAATGTAATGTAATGTAATGCATTTCACTTCTCGATCATTTTGATTAAAAAACACTTATTCTAGGTATTTTATGATCATTTGAACTAGTATTGTTGATTGCAGTCCAATTTCTTTTGACCATTTAAAGCATTTTATATTTCGGATTTGAACAATGTTGTATAATTAAGGGACTACTTTCAGCAGCGGATTAATCCAGAATTGGAGCTGTGGTGAGTATTTGTGGCAGGTGTATAAGTCTAGATCCGATAAAAATGGATGGGTGCGATTAGCTACACAGGACCAGAAAATATAAATATCACAATAAAGTATTTTACAAGCCGACATATTCAACTTCTCTCTCTTTGTACAATAATCAGAATTGGTCGTGATGTAGCGAACACCACCCATCCTGCCATTTGAGTTAAATGTTTATTGATCCCAGGTCTGCTGTGGATGTGTCGTCGTAGAGTTTGAACCAGAGGAGGTGACGCTCCATCATCTCGTTTCCATTCAATAACTATAATTAAATCAGGAGATGAATACAAAAGCACGTTTTTACCTGAAGTTTTCTAACATACGGGAGGAGAGGATTCAGAATGTAAGTATCACTGACGACTGAGATCATTATATTGTACTGAATATGAGATTTTGTTGTGCTGACAAATGAGACGAGAAGCTGACTCTTACATCCCGCTGAAAAAGCACCCGGTGTAAAACCTGACAGTATTTCAGTTTAATAATCTATGGAAAAGTAAGTAAGTAATAAGCAATAGAACATCTGCAAAGTTACTAATATGTGCTCGTTATGTTGCCTTGCAGGAATATCTCTTATTGCATTATGTTCTTAGACCCTGTAACGTAGCCTGAAGCCAAGCAGCTTTCATAAAAGAGTAATTTATTTGGTACCACTTTACAATAAGACTACCCTTATAAAGGAGTCATAAAGGGTTCGTAATTAGGTTATTAATTAGGTTGTAAACACTTTATTAATCATTAATTATAAACCAGTTCTAACATAGTTTTCATACATCAACACAGGCTCACTATTTGGCAAGATGACTAAGCCTTATATTGGCTACTTAGCGAGAATCAACTCAGTGAGCAACAGATACCAAGGATGCTGGCTGATGAAGAAGACGAAGTAAGCTAGGTAGCCAATATAAGGCTTAGCAGTGCAGATAAATGTGGGCTCACTATTTGGCAAGCAACCGGTCACAGTTGCCCTGTTTATCTCATGTCTTATAAAAGCTTATTAATGAGGTATAAAGTGTTCACAACCTAATTAATAAATGAATTTCAAACTATTCATAAACCCTTTATAAGGGCAGTCTTATTGTAAAGTGGTACCCAATGTTATTATGTTACATCAGAAACCCTAGTCTCCTACAATCTTGAGAGTGTGTGTGTGTGTGTTTGTGAGTGTGTGTGTTTGAGTGTGTTTGTGTGTGTGTGTGTGTGTGAGTTTGTGTGTTTGTGAGTGTGTGTGTTTGAGTGTGTGTGTGTGTGTGAGTGTGTTTGTGTGTGTGTGTGTGTGTATGTTTGTGTGTATGTTTGTGTGTGTGTTTGTGTGTGTGTTTGTGTGAGTGTGTGTGTTTGTGTCTGTGTGAGTGTGTGTGTTTGAGTGTGTGAGTGTGTTTGTGTTTGTGAGTGTGAGTGTGTGTGTGTGTGTGTATGTTTGTGTTTGTGTGTGTGTGTGTGTGTGTGTGAGTGTGTGTTTGTGTGTTTGTGTGAGTGTGTGTGTTTGTGAGTGTGTGTGTTCTTCAGTATGCTTTGTCTGATTCTTCATCAGCCAGCATCCTTGGTATCTGTTGCTCACTGAGTTGATTCCCCCCCTCTTCCATCTTGATGTTTCTTGGCATCTCTTTATGACCATTTATTTATGAGTTACTACCATTTCTAATAAGGCTTAGCAGTACAGATACATGTGGGCTCACTATTTGGCAAGCAACCGGTCACAGTTGCCCTGAGAGATTGATCTAATACACACATGTATGTCAAATGATCTGTGAAGTTAAGTACAAGAAAATCAGATTTTCAGATCAGATTGAAAACATTTGAATATACATATTGTACCTTATTTTTAAACTTTTTATTTTTCTATTCTTATACCAATAACTGTAACGCCATTTAGTTTTTGATGCAGCTTCCCAAGAACAATAACCTTATGATTTACATATTATCAATGTTTTTAAAGATCATTTCTCTGTCGATCAACAAATCTAGTATAATCTTTGAAGGTAAGTCGTGCACATTTTTTCTGAATTTGCCATTATTTCAAGTCAACATAGGACTTACAAGAGAGCTACTTTATTTTGTGTTTCTGCTGTCCTTCTTAAACATTTTTAAATGCCGTTTCAAAGCTTTGTTTATGCCAGGTTTGAGATTATTCTATCTTAAATTAAAAGTGAATGAAGCATAAATGATTGTCTGCACTCCAGAAGCTGATTGAGAGCATGAGTCCAGATGTTATTAGATTATAAATAACGGATTGTTTTGAATCAAGAATCCCACTGAAGTAAAAATCAGCTTGATGTGAATTTGATGTACTTTTCCATAGGTTACCACACTGGAATAGAGTCGTTGTTAAATAAAGTTTTACCGCCCCCCCCCCCCCGTGTTCCTCTATAACAGCGGTTCCCAACGCATTGCAAGTGGGCCGCCAAATAATTTGCAAAACATTATGATTTGTGTGGAAACATTTCATTATTAAGATTTTGTTATATTAGAACCTCCTTTCCTTTCTCTTTCTCGATCCTCCTTAGCAACGGTCATTACAGTCCTTGACAGCTGTCTGTTCTACTGGATTTACAACGTGTCACATGTTCTGAATTGACCAATCAGAACTTTATTTAGCCTCCCTGAGTGGTGCAGGGATGACGTATTTACCCGGAAGTAAGCTGCTGGTTCCCTCGACAAAAAAGCAACAGGATTTCTCCTTAGGATTTTGGAAAATAGCTCGAAATAAGGTCTGTGGAAAACGAGCCTGTTTGATAGATGCACGTTTTGTTCAGCCGGATAATATCCACGTCTACCCTACTTTTATAATTTTCTAATCATAAATCTAATGGCCAGAAGCAAAATGTTAACGTTATGCTATAAACGAACTACAGACGAGTACAGCAGCACAACTTCAACGTCACGCCAACTTAAGATCCATATTCAAAAATACAGATTCAAAATTGTACGAGTTGAAGCGTTTGTTTGAACAGTTTGCAGGAGGCAGGTACTTGCTTTCAAGCAGAACAGGGCAAACAAACTTAGCGGAGTGTTTACGTGTTCGGCGTAATGACGTACAACGGCCTCCACAACTTCTGTAGTCCTATTCAGCCACTTGGTAACAACCATCGTTTTTCAGACACGCAAACTCTTCAGAAATCACCAGTGGGGTCACTGCTGATGTATTTAATGTCGTAGAACAAAACGTGATCAGTCTCTTCAATGTGTCTCAACCACAGACCTTATTTCCAGCTATTTTCCAAAATCCTATGGAGAAATCCCATTGGCTCTGAGACGCGGGAACAGGAAGTGGTAAAATGCTAACTCACTTCCTGGTTTTAGGACTCGTTCCCGCACCACTCTATTGTTTATGGTTGAATGTGGGCCGCGAAAACCTTTTTTTTAGATTCTGAAGTGGGCCCCGAGTTGAAAAAGGTTGGGAACCGCTGCTCTACAGTTCTACGCCTCGTACCCGGCCGAGCGGCGCCGCTGGTGGTTCCAGATGTCGTCTCGGTGCTCGGGTCGGCAGAAGAGCCGGGACGACTGAGCCAGACGCTCCCGGTGCTCCCGCTCCGCCCCCCCCCCCGCTCGGGAGAACAGAGGACGGCCCCCAAACTGCGAGGAGGACGAGTGGGAGTGGGTCCTGTGGTCGTGGAGACCGGAGGACGACAGCTGACCCCCCGCTGACCTGCAAATGTCAGATTTATTTCAATTAACATTAGGGTATCTGCACATTTCTTAAGTACAAATTTAATGACTTTTAAGACCTTCTTAAGACCCCTCTAACAGGGAAAAATAATACCAATACAAAAAAATCGATGAACTAGAAAACAGTATAAACCGTTACTGAGTTTTATTACATTTGAATAACGGGACATATTCAGTGCCAACCCCACATGACTGCCTTCACATTAACAAACAAATTCATTCATTCTGCCCAAGATAAAATGTAATACCTCCCCTCCTAAAATTCCAGACCTTTTTAGACCTTGAATATCAAAAAGTAAATGTAAGACTTTTAAGACTTTTTAAGGATCCGCTGGGACCCTGAAGATACTTCTGATAATAACCTATAGAGTGGTGCAGGAATGAGTGATAAAACCCGGAAATGAGTCAGCATTTTAGCACATTTTGTTCTTTAATCTTGAAGTCAATGTTTTTTAATGTGTTTTGGTTGTCTGCCGCCTTTAGCTTAGCGGTGGTGACGTGAAGTCATGTGACCGAGCTGTAGTTCCTTTATAGCCCAACATTAGCCGCCTTTAGCTTAGCGGTGGTGACGTGAAGTCATGTGACCGAGCTGTAGTTCCTTTATAGCCCAACATTAGCCGCCTTTAGCTTAGCGGTGGTGACGTGAAGTCATGTGACCGAGCTGTAGTTCCTTTATAGCCCAACATTAGCCGCCTTTAGCTTAGCGGAGGTGACGTGAAATCATGTGACCGAGCTGTAGTTCCTTTATAGCCCAACATTAGCCGCCTTTAGCTTAGCGGTGGTGACGTGAAGTCATGTGACCGTGCTGTAGTTCCTTTATAGCCCAACATTAGCCGCCTTTAGCTTAGCGGTGGTGACGTGAAGTCATGTGACTGAGCTGTAGTTCCTTTATAGCCTAATATTAGCCACCTTTAGCTTAGCGGTGGTGATGTGAAGTCATGTGACCGAGCTGTAGTTCCTTTATAGCCCAACATTAGCCGCCTTTAGCTTAGCGGAGGTGACGTGAAATCATGTGACCGAGCTGTAGTTCCTTTATAGCCCAACATTAGCCTCCTTTAGCTTAGCGGAGGTGACGTGAAGTCATGTGACCGTGCTGTAGTTCCTTTATAGCCCAACATTAGCCTCCTTTAGCTTAGCGGTGGTGACGTGAAGTCATGTGACCGTGCTGTAGTTCCTTTATAGCCCAACATTAGCGGCCTTTAGCTTAGCGGTGGTGACGTGAAGTCATGTGACCGTGCTGTAGTTCCTTTATAGCCTAATATTAGCCACCTTTAGCTTAGCGGTGTGACGTGAAGTCATGTGACCGCGCTGTAGTTCCTTTATAGCCTAACATTAGCCTCCTTTAGCTTGGCGGTGGTGACGTGAAGTCATGTGACCGAGCTGTAGTTCCTTTATAGCCCAACATTAGCTTAGCGGTGGTGATGTGAAGTCATGTGACCGAGCTGTAGTTCCTTTATAGCCCAACATTAGCCACCTTTAGCTTAGCGGTGGTGACGTGAAGTCATGTGACCGAGCTGTAGTTCCTTTATAGCCCAACATTAGCTGCCTTTAGCTTAGCGGTGGTGACGTGAAGTCATGTGACCGAGCTGTAGTTCCTTTATAGCCCAACATTAGCTTTTTACTTCTGGATATTTTAAACTCATTCAGTTTGAGTTTGAGCAATGAACAGCATCAGTGTGGAGTTCCTCACCTGCTTTTAGTGATCCTGTGAGGTGTGTGTTCACTGGGCTGCTGGTACTGATGAGGACACAGAAAAAGGTCAAAGGTTAGTTACAGATACAAGACAAACTAAATACAAACAGAAAATACGCCGTTACATTTAGGATTAACACAAAATAAAGATACAGTGTCATTATTTTAAAATGAATAACGGTTTTATTATTATCGGGACAATTTGATAATTTGTATCAAAAGTGCTTATTACCCAGAAAAGGACCCTATGAAGTATTTATTTCTCCTCCGCCCTGCTGTACCTTGAAGTGGCTGCACTGCTGCGGGCTGTTCTCCTGGTAATACTCCACCAGCCTCTCGGCCAGAGCGATGCGTCTCAGCAGATTCTCGATGAAGTGCTGGATCCGGACTTTACCGCACGTCTCCTGTCGAGCCGCCGCTTCCAGGAACTTCTGGATCGTTATCACCTCCCTGGAAAACAGAAATGATATCCAAATACAGCACTGGGTCAGTGAGCAGTTCATGTGGAGCACAAGAGAAAAATAAAGTGTACTGCACACATGGAAATCAGAAATCTAATGAAATACTAGTAATATCAATAATGTCTTTAATACACTAGTATATATTGTAAAGTAAATATTTTCACACAGTTGTTGTTATGGATTGTAGAAAAATAGCACATTTTACGTTGACTTATCCAAGTTTTTATAATCGTTATGCTTTGACGTTTGTATTTTGTTTTTGTCTTTGCACAGTACAGCCCTTTGAGGCATTTCTTGTGATTTGGGGGCTATAATAAATGTTGATTTGATTTGGGAAACAGTATTTCGATCTCTCTGTCTGTACACACAAACTGAAAGATTGACAATAAAGTTGACTTTGACACTGTTGCTGTGCGTATGACATTTAAAGGTGGGGTATGTAATTTATTTCAGAAACACTTGTTATATTCCATGTAATGCTCTTAACATCCCGATAGCAATCAATATATTAAATGCTTTGACAATAAATACATTAAAAAAATTCATCCGTGGAAGCCGTGGCGCTGTAAAAAGCACGACCAATCATCTGAGCCGGCCCGGCTAAAATAATTGGATGGCCTACCTGCCTGTCAGCCTTCCATCTGTGCACAAACTTATCTGGTGCGCTCATTGGTCATGTGTGCGGTCGTGTGTGTTGGAGGAGGGGCTCTGTAAGGAAGTCTGAAGGAAGTGGCAGATTTTTTCCGGTTGTGTATTTTCAAATTCTAGCGCACTCGAGCTGGTTTCTCCAAAATTACATACCCCACCTTTAAGACTTTCACTTGAATATGCGTATATCCCAAAATTGAAGTCGTTTATAATTTTGCCAGCTTTTAATGATTTTTAATAGTTTCTTTTATTTTGCATATTGACTGGCTAATGTGCCATTTCATATGTGTTTTACAGCTGTATTCGTCTGCCTGTATTGTCTGTGTTTTATCGGTTGTAACTTTGTTCATGCTGCCCTTCTTGGCCAGGTCGCTCTTGGAAAATACATTTGAATCTCAATGAGTCTTTACCTGGTTAAATAAAGGATATATATATGCAGTAGTATATCTGATCACGTTTACCTCTCCTGTCGCTCCAGTTCGTTCTCCGAGGCGTTCAGTTGCTCCCTCAGCGCTGCGATCACCATGACGGCCACGTCCACCTGTCGGCTCAGCGACCGCTCTCTGTCGGCCACCTCCTGCCTCTCCTGGGCGAGGTGCTGCGAGTGGGCGCGCTCACACAGGAGCTGCGTGTCCGTCTGAGCCAGCTCCGTGCTCACCTTGGCGAGGCGACGCTGCATCGTGCTGTCGGCGGCGCGAAGGAGACTCGCCAGGCGACGACGCACCGCTGCTGAGGCTGCTGCCGTCTGCAGACCGGAGTACTGGTTCTGATCTGGAGAGGAGACAGGAGAGGAGAGAGGAGACAGGAGAGAGGAGAGAGGAGAGGAGACAGGAGAGGAGAGAGGAGAGGAGACAGGAGAGGAGACAGAAGGATTCATATATGTGTTTCCGCACCAGAAATTGTATATAAATGTAAAAATCATACCAGAAATATGTCATTCTTTAAATTTAAGGGAATATAAAAGATGTTATTCCCTTAAATCCTTGGATCAATAAACAAAACTTTGCTCCAAAAAGTAAAAAAAGCTGAACGCACCGACCAGCTCCAGGTCCAGGTCCAGGTTGGGGTAGGGCGGGGGGGCGAGGGGAGCAGGAGGGTGGAACAGCTGGTGGTTCAGGCGGTGGGGGGCAAGTGTCTGACTTTTAATGGACATTTTAACATCTCCGTCATTTCTACCTCCGTTTTTCTCTTCACCTTCGTCCTCATCATCATCTCCCACATCGTCGTCATCTGACCCAAACTCCTCTTCATCATCCTCCTCATCATCATCCTCCTCTTCCTCTTCAGCCTGCGTCCCAACCCCCACACTTTGGGTTCTCCTCCTCACAGAGCCGTAGGAGGGGAGGAATCCACTGTCAATACAATACAATACAAAGGGGCTTTATTGGCATGGCCACATTTTACACATAGTATTGCCAAAGCATTCTGCACAAGGCGTTATGTCAACAATACATGTGGCACAACAGCATAACACAAAACATACTGTATGTTCAGAGGTGTGAAGTACAAATACTTCGTTACTGTACTTAAGTACATTTTTCTGGTATCAGTACTTTACTCCACTACTTATTTTTCTGACGGCTTTTTAGTTTGACTTCTTACATTTTGAACCCAAATACCTGTACTTTCTACTTCTTACATTTTGAACACAAATACCTGTACTTTCTACTTCTTACATGTTGAACACAAATACCTGTACTTTCTACTTCTTACATGTTGAACACAAATACCTGTACTTTCTACTTCTTACATGTTGAACACAAATACCTGTACTTTCTACTTCTTACATTTTGAACTCAAATACCTGTACTTTCTACTTCTTACATGTTGAACACAAATACCTGTACTTTCTACTTCTTACATTTCCCAAACAGGCTGGTTCCTTTAGTTTGAATGTGTGTTTGGTGGCGTGATCATTATTATTTAGAGTCATTGCGTGCCTATTGATTTGAACACGATCCGTGTATCCATCATTTCCTGGTCTTCTCTAAAGAAGAGGGACCAATGAAAACGTTGTCATGTTGCCGTTGTTCAGCATGGAAACATTCATTAGCTAACAATGACATTATTGTTCTATTAATATAAAGGGAGGTCAGGTACTCTTTAAAACAGCTGCTAGTTATGGGTACTTTTTACTGAAGTACATTTCAAAGCCCTCTTTACTTTGACTTGAGTAAAGAAGTTTAGTCAGTACTTCTACTTTTACCAGAGTATTTTTAAACACGAGTATCTGTACTTCTACTTGAGTAAAGAAGTTTAGTCAGTACTTCTACTTTTACCAGAGTATTTTTAAACACGAGTATCTGTACTTCTACTTGAGTAAAGGATGTGTGTACTTTTGCCATCTCTGTGTATATGCCAACAACGTGCAAATACAAATATATATACCTGTCTCTGCTGTCGCTGAGGGAGCGAACGTGCGGGGGTCTCTGCTGCCCCCTGCGGGTCGGGAGGCTCATGTCGTGCCACGGGATCGCTGCCGTTAACGGGTCGGGGAGTTTCCCGGTGATGCTGAAGCCACCGCTGGTCACGTCCGGCGAGCAGTACGAGTGGCGGTACTCCAGGTGCGCTCTGAGCGAGGCCAGGCTGCGGAAACGCTCCTGCTCTCCACAGCGGGGGCAGCGGAACGGGAGGGAGGAGGGGGAGGAAGAGGAAGAGGAGGCGCCGCAGGCCTGGCCGTTCCTCTCCGAGAGGAAAGAACCAGAACCTCTGGAGCACAACTTCTGCTGCATCACTCTGCACCTGCAACACAGAGAGGAGGTTACTCAAGAGAGGGACTCAATCAGGGCTGGACTGGGACAGAAAATCTGCATTTTGGCCCACAACCATCAAACAAAAACACAGGAGGGGCTCCTGACCAGAGGAAAATGTTTGCCATCAGTGCAAACAAAACTACCAACAGCATACAAGTAGCTGAACGGCCGTCAGAACAAAAATGTAAATAATATTAAGTTGTGTCGGCCCAAAAGGCACGTCTGCCCACCGGGAAAGTTTGCTAGTCCAGCTCTGGACTCAATGGAACACAACTAAAAGAGGCGTGTCCTAATTGTCCAGTGGGGTCATTTGGTCACGTAATATTGGAGCTATTGAAATAATCCAAGAGTGTTCAATTAAAAATAAATATGGCGATATAAGAAAGAAATGGGAGTAAAATCCAATAAAAAGTGGGTGTGTCCCGGTAGTTGAGTATAGTCAGACAATTCTGCTTTATTTGGAGTTACTGGTTCTCATGACATGGAAACTACTGAAAAATATTAAACATTTAATTTAACTTGTTTGGCATAGTTTTTGCTTATACAAAAAAGTTAGAAGGCAGATACTGAAAGTAACATTGGTGTTGTGCAATTCAAAGGTAACATGTATTGATGGTCCCTAAGTGAAAGCCTGTGTTTACAAGAAAAAGTAATTCATTGAAACTGTTAATGTTGCTTCAAATAAGGGGCAGTTTTATCCCACTGGCCATTAGACTGCTAAACTCCTGGGATCTGTGAAGTGTCCTTTTAACGTTAAGTGTCCATCTGTTTGCATTTTACATATGTATTAATTACTACAATAACCAATATGTTATCCTTGTAGAGTATTTTTTATGTAACATTCTGTATTTAGCTCATCTTATTCTATTATATCTACTTCTCCTGCATTACCTGCACATAGGTGACTTGCAAGCAAAATCTTCTTGCACTGTTTTCATTGTTTTATGTTAATATATATCTATGTTGCATTGTTGAAGGAGACTGGCACTTAAGATATTCATTGCCATAACTACACTGTAGCTACTGTCTCGTGTTACAGTAGGCTGTGTCCCCTGTGATTGTTACACTATATAATATCATTAGATCAATAAAACTCATGCATTAGTAAAAAAAAAATAGCCTGTAGTAAAAAAAAAACATTACTATAAAAGATGCACATGTGACCAGAAGTGGCATTAATTAGTTGATAACATAATTCATTTAATTAAATCAATGTACCATCATGTAGCATTACATTGATTTGGAAATGTTCCCAGCATGGATGCAAGCAGGTGTTCTCCTCATCAAAAAAGGAAAATTGCCATTTTAATAAGACTAACAGGTGAATTCCTCTCACCTCCATCGTTAGCATCTTTAGCATCACTAGCTCTACCTGGGTGCTTTCACTGAGGCTAACGTTAGCATGCTAGCTAACAGAAAACCTTCTGTGAATCATTATGTAAACAGAAAACCGTGAACGCGTCGCTCTTACCGGTTTAACGGCAGGTTGTAAATGATAACGTCTCACCGTTAGTGTCTGCAGGTGTCATGTCGCAGATGGAGACCGACAGCATGATGTCATTCATTCACGAGACTCACGGTGGACCAGCCGTTAAGTTAGCATCACATCAACAATGACACAACTTCCGGTCAGCCCTTTCAGAGGAAAACATATGATATTTACTGTACGTGTAGGATGAGCACTTCCGGTTTGTTATTTGAGTTTTTGTATCTTTTTAATGAAAGAAAGTTAACTTTGAAATGAATATGCTTTATTCTGATAATATGAGTAACAGGGTTGAGTGGGTTTAGAGTGCCACACTCTTTTAAGACTGAAAAGATTGTAAAAATATGAAAAATAAAAGAGAGGACTTAGTTTTGGTCTACCCATGGCACTAGCACATGGCTTGCTGATGCCACTTCCACTGTGTCATTTGACTTACAGTTTTTTCACTTCCTCTGCCAATCTAAAAAGGTTTGGGTAACAGGGTTGAACGCATGTTGAGGGACACACCTTCTGTGCAAAATTACTGTTATTTAAAATATGTTTATGATTTAACAAATTGATTTTACCATTACAAGAGACATATATCAATAGAATAATACCAAAAAAAGTAAATAAAATCCTTATTTTAAATGTTATATTTGACATGCAAGTTGGTCACCAAGAAGTCAAACCAGAAGAAAATGCCATTTTAGGGGGTGTTCGAGAGCTATTTAAATAATATTTTGAAACCACTTTTTCGACAACTTTATATACACTTTGTCTCAAGACAAGTATGTTTAACACAACAAGTGCATGTTTTAGCTTTTTGGGCATGGATTATTAGATTTTTTATATGGGGGACATGAAATGTCCTCCAATTCTGGAATATAGGAACCCCTATACTGTTGGAGTGGTAAGCAGGCCTAAGTATCGTTAGGTGTTTGCATATTTTGCATTTCTTTGTAATGAAATTAAACACTTATCATTTAGAATTATCTTTCAGCAATTGCATAATTTTATTTATCTAAACATACATAAAGTTCTTAGTGGTACTGGTCTATATATATATAACACATTAGGGCAGGGGTGTCAAACTCAATTTCATCGTGGGCCACATTTGAATGATGGTTGCTCTCAAAGGGCCGGTGGTAACTTTAAGACTATATAAATATACATAGATAAATATATATAATATATATAAAATAATGTATTATTTTACAATATTTCCTCTGCATTGGATTATTATCGGATAGGGTAATAATTTCATAATTACCTATGTCTAAAAGCAGAAGTCTAGGGCAAATAATTGCAAGTCTCTCACAAAATGAGATGCATTGTGGGACATGTAGTTTATGGGCAACGTGATCCTGTAAAGCAGCACGTAACCTTATAATAAACGTAGTATACTCTTTGCAAGCTCTTGTGGGCCACATAAAATGAGTGGCCGGGCCGGATTTGGCCCCCGGGCCAAGAGTTTGACACCCCTGCATTAGGGCATAGCAAACTAGTTATAAAAGAAGGATACACATCCTCATATTCCTGCGTTCCACTTATGTCCCTATTGTGTTCTTAGCAGCAGAGATGGAGTCAAACAAATGGAGATGAAGTAAGTGGTCTGGAAAAGGGTTTTATTTTCATCGTGATCATGTACAGTGATGCACTGCATGTAATAACCATACAGAATAAACAGTGATTGTGCAAATTTATAAAAGCCTGTATTCACAAAGTTGTTTAAAAGCCACAATTTCAAAAACCAGAATGACGTGTATTTTCCCACGAGTTCAGGTAGCTGGCAGTTTGACAATAATTCAAATGTTAAATGTGTTTTTTAAACATTGCATGTAAAACAGGGGTGTCAAACTCAATTTCATCACGGGCCACATCAGCATTATGGTTGCACTCAAAGGGCCAGTTAGGGTTAGACTACATAAAAATACATATATAAATATTGAATATATATAAAATAATGTATTATATTACATTATTTCCTCTGCATTGGATTATTATCGGATAGGGTAATAACTTCCTAATTAACTACGTCTGAAAGCAGAAGTCTAGGGCAAATAATTGCAAGTCTCTTCAGTGAGAATGTCACAATATGATTTTAAAAGAAAAGCCACATTCTGGAAAAACAAAACATTTTTTTGAGAAAAAGGCTAGTTCTAAGAAAAAAGGCATATTTTGACAACAAAAAGTCAAATTTGAGATGCATTGTGGGACATGTAGTTTATGGGCGACGTGCTTCTGTAAATTGCCATGTAACCGTATAATAAACATATTATATTCTTTGCAAGCTCTTGTGGGGCCACAGAAAATGAAGTTGCGGGCCGGATTTGGCCCCCGGGCCTTCAGTTTGACACCCCTGATGTAAAACAACCTGAGAAGTAACATTCATGTGCTCCTGATTTTAGCTGCTGAATACAATCACACCCAGTACATCTGATAATCTCTGGTGTGACTGAATACAAACCTGAATCAGAGCCAACAGGAACGGGCTGAATGTTAAAACAAATACACCTGTAGTTGCACAGACTCACGTTTTTAAAGCATGTCAGAAAACACCATCAGGATTGTATTACCTCGGTCCACTTTCATTGTGTGACAATCATGTTTGTTTTTTAAATTATAACTGCATTTTTAAATGGTATTGCTGTATGTCTCTTTCATTTTTTTATTCTGCGTGCAACACATGTTAAATCCTAAAAGCATTAAGGTGAATCAAAGTGTGTTTCAATACCTTAACACTTCACTATGATAATGTTTTGCTGGATCAAACACTTTTGTAATTCCTTATCTTTAAATTGTCTTATTTGTTTCGTATTGTGCCATTTTTTACTTTTATATAGCTTGTTTTTATTGCTTTGGTATATGAAATGTGCTCCACAGATTAGCATTTCATGTCAATATGAAATACTTGAACACTGCACACACAAACCCCAAACTCTGTTGTTGTTCAGGCGAACTTTCTGATGTTCAAATACATTTTTATGTGTGTAAAAAGCATCTGAATGCGTGTTCATTATTCCCCACAGAAGATATATTTCTTGTATGTTTCCTGTGTCGATGAGCAGTGTGTTTGAGAACTGTTTTTTATTCACAGATTTTTGTGTTTAATGCACAGATTAACTTCAGGTGAACCCAAATGTTGCCGCTCCTAAGGCGTTGCAAGGACTGGTTTCTGGTGGAGAGTAAGATTAGAAAATGTAGACTCTTATTATATAGCGAAGTTAGCTTAGCACAAAGAAAAAGTATCCATAAAACAACAATTTGCTCGTTTTACAGCAGGTTTTGCGCCCGGCTTGTGAGCTGCAAGATTTGAAACTTTTCAACCAAAGTTCACAGATTGGAGTAAATAAAACAACCATTCATAATGCACTTGTTCCCTCTTCTTCTATATGTGTTCCCTCCTTCCTCCCTCGCTCCCTTGCTCCCTTGCTCCCTTGCTCCCTTGCTCCCTTGCTCCTTGCTCCCTTGCTCCCTTGCTCCCTTGCTCCCTACTGGCAGTGGCGTTGGTAGTTGAGTTTGGCTCCCAGCCTGGTTCCTGCCAGCTGTTTGTTGAAGGCGGCGTCCATCTCTCGGCTCTGTTCGGGGGTGAAGTGGTTCTTCCAGTCGCCCACCTCGCCTGCACAGGGACACAAATATCTCACAGTTAAAACCTCTGATTCGACCTATTTCTCATTAATTTGCTAAAAAATAATTAAGAAGTATTCTTTATCTGCAACACGGAAGTTCTCGTATATTAATAGTGGAATATCAGACCTCATTTCGTTGAGCATTTTAATAATTTAAACAGTTGAACATTTGGGGAAATATGCTTATTCACTCTCTGTCTCGAAAAAAACCTCTCATTTGTTTATGTTAAAAAACAAATGATATCATATTTGTATTAATACAAAACTAGTCGAGCGATTCTGCACATTAAGTATTTGCAACCTTAAAGGTAGGGTAGGTAAGAATGGAGAAACCAGCTCGAGTGCGCTAGAATTTGAAAGTACGCAGCCGAAAAAGATCTGCCCCTTCCTTCAGACTTCCTTACAGAGCCCCTCCTCCAACACACACGAACGCGCACATGACCAATGAGGGCACGAGATAAGTTTGTGCACAGATGGAAGGCTGACAGGCAGGTAGGCCATCCAGTTATTTTAGCCGGGCCGACTCAGATGATTGGTCGTGCTTTTTACAGCGCCACAGCTTCCACAGATGACTTTTTTTAATGTATTTATTGTCAAAGCATTTAATGTATTCATTGCTATCGGGATGTTAAGAGCATTCCATGGAATATAACAACAAGTGTTTCTGAAGTGAATTACCTACCCCGCCTTTAAGAAAATGTTGCTGATGTTACTTCGGTACTTTTATTGATGTAACATTTTAAAAACAGGACATTAACTTGTAATTGAGTATTTTTAAGGTTGTTACCATTTTTACTTAAGCAAAGGATCTGAGCTCTTCTTCCTTCACTAATTTATTGAAATGTATTGTAGAAGTTGTGTTCCATAATGGATTTACTAAGTGGGAAGAGGAGGCAACTTTAAGGCCGTCTGTGGCTATTGTTGCTTTATAATGACTGATAAAGAGACAGTATGTAAGGCACCTTTCTGAAGATGACGTCCCTCATAGCCCCATGGGAGTTAGCGGAGCTCTGTTTCATGGCGGAGAAGGTGCTGCCGTCTGAGATCTGAAGCACCTGAGCCTCCGTCAGAGTGTAGCCGAAGAAGGAGGAGATCTGACGGATGCCATCGCTCAGGTCCTGCAGGACAGGAAACACATTACAGGTCACCTATTATGCAAAATCCACTTGTTCATGTCTCTTCTACATCAACATGTGTCCCCTCTGTGTAAAGAGACTCTGAAGGTTTCAGGAACAAAGATTCTCTCTCTTTTTGTCCTGATCCATTTATATAAAAACCTGTCTGAAAATGAGCTGATCAGATTTTGGCCACATTATGATGTCATAACGTTTTTTTGGCTTGTGTAACCATTAGCCAATCACCAACCAAGGTAAACCCCCCCCCCCCCCCCACCTTATCACCTGAATCTCCTCCTATACCCCTTTCACACCGGCGCTTTTCCAGCTCCTGCTGGGAGCTAGAGCCTGAAAAGCGCCGGTTTTTCCTGTTCACACCGCAGCGGCGGCGCGTCATAGCTCCAGAAAGCGGTTCACTTCCAGCTCCAAAAAATTGTCGGTCCAGAGGCAAGAGCTTCGGAGCTATGACGCGGCGTCGCTTACGTCGAGGCGTGCAGGAAAACCTTACTTTGACCATCCGTTCGCTGTTATTGATCATTGTGGAGATACAATGGGCTGCACAGGTTGTCATGTCCGACTATCAGAAGTAGAATCATAATGAAAAATACGCCCGGTAAAATGTGCCTATAGAAAAACGGCTTAGCAAGTAGTCAGTTTAGCTTCGGTTGCTATGCTAACATCACCCATGTTATACCAGAGAAACTTTCATAACAGCGTTGTGATGCCAAACAGCGTCAATTCAGACTGACACACATTCACTTAAGGGGAACTGGGGATATGTATCAGCTGCTTGTGTGACAGTCAGACAGTGAATACTTTAGAGCCGTGTGAGCTAACCCGGAGCTAACGGGAGAATAAAACTCCCGTGGAAGTGCAGCCACTGCAGCGGTCGGTAAATGCCGCTGACACACATTAATAAACAATGAACCACGGCACTCTGGAGAAAAGTATAAGGTTGGAGAAGTCGTTATTTAATTTAATCTGGCTTCGTATGATTAAAAGCAACACGACCCGATGCAGTCCCCGCCCGTTGTTGTTGTGGGAGAAAATCAGCGACGTAAACTGTGACGTCATGACGCAGCAGCGGCAGCTCTCGGCAGTGTGAACAGAGCGGGAGCTGAAAAGGGAAACGGGAGCTGAACCAGAAAAGCTCTCGCGAGGAGCTAGAAAGTGAAAAGCGCCGGTGGTGAAAGCCCGCACTAGAGAACCATTGAGTTCTTTGTAACCAAATCTCTCTCAGAGGGGCGTGGGGAGGGGCTCCTTATTTTCATCTAAAGTAACAGACAGAGAATCAGCACTTTGGAAACAGGGGCTGAAACAGAGGGGATTATGGGATGCTGCAATGATTAGTGTTTCAGCCAATCAGAGACAGGCTCTGTATATATCTGAGACCTATAATATATTGATGAAAATGAGTATAATAGGGGACCTTTAATGAGTGACTCTGCCGCTAACTCAAGTATCTGCAGGCTGGGTTTTTTAATAAATGAAACTGAACGAATGGGCTGCATCCATTGAGGGAAGAAAATCAGTAAGAATTTGCTGGACTGTTTGGAAAGAAAGCATGAAGCAACTATAAGAAAGAACAAGTCAATGTGTTGCATTCAGCAAGTTATAATGTTTCCTTTTTTACATCGATGAGTGTGTGATCTACCTGTTTCAGCTCCTCGTAGGTGACGATCATCACGTTTGGGTCGTCCATCCTCTTCTCCCAGGCCAGAGCGTGGTCAAAGTACGACCCCCAGGCAACTACACACACACACACACACACACACACACACAGACACACTTTTTTTTAGCTGAAGATATTATAACGTTTTGTTCTACGAAAGTTGTATATATGTAAATAAATACCCCACTGGTGAATTTACAAGTGTCTAAGTCTCTTGTTAGTAGGACTGCACCGAACAATTGAAGCTTGATTCGTAACGATTATATAAATCTGAATACTTTATATGTATATTCACTCGGTTTAAACCTGGTATTTCTGCACAGATAAAGATTAGGTTTCACCTTATGGTCTGTTGGTCAATGTTTTCTATCAATCGCTGGTATTACTTTCATAAGGAGAAGAGCGCTTCTTAATCCTTTATCTTAATCCATTATTTTTCCACAGGGAGGACACACACACACACACACACACACACACACACACACACACACACACACACACACACACACACACACACACACACACCACACACACACACACACACACACACACACACAACACATACACACACACACACACAGGCAGGCAGGCAGGCAGGCACGCAGGCACGCACGCACACACGCACGCACGCACGCACACACAAATGAAAAAGCACACGGTAACAAAAAGCCAGACTCAGGGACGATAGAGAATCTGACAGAGCATAAATATAAATACAATTGGGTAAATATTTGACACAGCTGATTGAGTAGGTGTTTTAGGAGTGGAAGCCAAATGACTGGAAGTGTGGCACATGTCAGAGAAACACGTTTGTAATGACCTGTTAGTAACTGGCATTGAGATGACAAAGAAAGTAGAAAGTTTCACCTCTGCACAGCCCTGTGGTGGGCGGTGACAGGGATTTATCGTTTAAGAGCACGGTCATTTTCCAGTGACACAGCATTTCTGCAGCACTCATTATATTTTGTAGTATACACATTTTGCAGGAAATTAGGCTTGCATGTAACTTATTTAATAATAATTTAATAACTAGATTTCATGATTGTGATGTCAATGAATGTCCATATGTTTGACCTTTCTCCTGTAATTGATAACTTTTACATTGCTACTTTTGCCCCCTAGGTTTTTAGACGTTATGTTATCAGTGCATGTTTCTGATAAGCTGCCCTCCTTGCCCTGAGAAGGCGTGAGAAGCATTTGAACTCGTACTTTATGAGTGTTTTGATGCAGTAAACTCAACAGTGGCTCTTTGGATTTAAAAGGCATGCAACAGCTTCCTCAGTGGAACATGCTGAGTCGGCTTTGCACACTTTTTATTAGCTGATATATTAGCTCATAAACACAGCGGGGCTGCAGGACAATAAAGTCAGGATGTGAGAGCACAGAAACACTGCCTGGTGTTAGGAGCAAATGCATTCAATCATCGTATGCTTGGGTTACTAAAAATGTGCCTATTACCTTTTTCATCCCTCAGTATGGTTCAATTTACAGAGGAATTTCTTTAAATTAAAGTTTGCATTGTTTTAAAGTGAGGTTTTATGAGGTACTTATCCAAAGTGTGCGTTTAACCCTCTGCTGTGGACGTGTTTTTAGACACAAATTAGTTTAACTGTACCCTATAATCTGAATATTTCCACCCAATACCTTGCTTGTCAACAGGGTTTGGTTGTGGTAAAAAAGCATTAAGTCAAAAAAGCTACCACCTCTTAAAGCAACTGGTTGGATGCCTGTTTCTGATCTAAAAAGCACCCTAAATGCATTTTTATTGTTATTTTTTCATAATTTTCTTCAGCATCTTTGTTTAAAACCCAGAGCTAACCTACAACTCTTACAAGGAGTCTCAAATGGCAACATATAAATACTAAAAAAATCAACATCCAGACAAAATAAATGATTTAAGATCACGTTTTGGTCACTTTAGCCCAGGGGTGTCAAACTCAAGGCCCGGGGGCCAAATCCGGCCCGCGACTTCATTTTCTGTGGCCCCACAAGAGCTCTGAAAGAATATAATATGTTTATTATACGGTTACATGGCGATTTTTTTTTGTCTGTTTTTTTTGTTCAAATGTCACTTTTTCTCAAATTGTCACTTTTTTTTCTTCAAAATGTCACTTTTTTTTTGTGTTTTCACTTTTTTCCACCAAGAATTTGGCTTTTCTTTTTAAATCATTTGTGACATTCTCACTGAAAAGACTTGCAATTATTTGCCCTAGACTTCTGCTTTCAGACGTAGTTAATTATGAAATTATTACCCTATCAGATATTAATCCAATGCAGAGGCAATAATGTAATATAATGCATTATTTTATATATATTAAATATTTATTAGGGCTGTCAGTCGATTAAAAGATTTAATCGCATGATAGTCCATAGTTAATCGCGATTAATCGCAAATTAATCGCACATTTTTATCTGTTTCTAAATGTACCTTAGAGGGATATTTTTCAAGTTTTTAATACTCTTATCAACATATGAGTGGACAAATATGCTTTATATGTTTGTTTATTATCATTTGAAACAATGACAATATTCTCATGAATATTAAACACAACAACCTGAACATTACAAATATTCGCCTCAATTCAACCTGGAACCTCTCTCATACAATAATACTGTGTGTGGTGTGTGTGTGTGTGTGTGTGTGTGTGTGTGGTGTGTGTGTGTGTGTGTGGTGTGTGTGTGAGAGTGTGTGTGGTGTTGTGTGAGTGAGAGAGAATGTGGAGACACTGTGATTGATCGTTGGAGCTATGTGCCGCTCAAGGCATATATGCTCGAACGTGTGCTGCCTGGACGCTGCAATCATGTAGCGCGTACTATCCCGTGCTGAGTGCGCTGACTTTTCGTACAATGTCCCACTGTTCTGGCTACCTGCATAGAAGTCAAGTGCTCGGCGCAGTTGTCGGCGAAATGTCATTGAAACAGCTCCTTATATCCGTTAGCGCAGCTAGCTAGCACCAGATGCTAACAACAACAACACGTAAGGTGTGCCTCGCTCGCGCGAGTCGCGCCACACATACACACTCCCTCCCGGTCCTCCCGATTGCCAGTCCAAGCCTGCCGGTGAGCGTGGAAGTGTGGTCTGCCACAAGTGGGCGGCAGGAGCGGGGCTGTCAGCATCAGCTTGTAGATGGTGTTTTTAAACTCGATGCGCTCTGAAACTACGGTGCGGCCGAGGACAAAAAATACACATGCGTTAATCGCGTTAAAATAATTAGTGGCGTTAATTTTTTTTTGCGTTAACGCGTTATTAACGCGTTAACTTGACAGCCCTAATATTTATATATGTATTTTTATATAGTCTTAAAGTTACAACTGGCTCTTTGAGTGCAACCATAATGCTGATGTGGCCCGTGATGAAATTGAGTTTGACACCCCTGTGTATAATGTTTAAAAAACACATTTAACATTTGAATTATTGTCAAACTGGCATGTGGTCTAATTCATTATAAGTAGGAGTGCTTGTTCAGCAAATGATTATCTATAAATGTTTTTCTTATCGTGATAAAGTCATGCATGTGTTTTCTCACCGTCTCCGCTCATGAAGTTGGAGAAGAAGGAGTCCCAGGACGACTCTGAGGGCAGCACCGGGTTTGTTGTTGGAGAAATGATAAAACGAGACCAGCGTGTCTTTAGGGTTCCTGAAGATCACCAGTATCTGTGACACACACAACACCATTTAAAACAAACATTTTAGCTAATTAAACTGGAATCTATTTATAATAATTCAATGAAAAAGGGGGAAATAAATCAATCATGATGTCAAAAAGGAATTGAAAAGGATAGTAATGATTGATTTTCTTCCATCTTTGTGATATTTCTAAAAAGGCAAAAACAGTGATTTTGATTATATTCTATTTTCTATTGTAATAGTCACTACTGTCATACGTTTTATTTCATTCAAACTCAATCAAGCTGTGTCCACTTTTGGAAAGAATCATAACTATCCAAAAGATAATTATAAAACAGAACCTTTTGTGACTTCAAAATAAATAGATTTTGTATTTTAAGTTAATTAATTGCAAGAAGGATAACATAATGAAGAATAGCGATTTATTTTGAAAGCCACTTCTACATCCATCACGTCTTCATGTGTTTCCCATTTGAGGATTGGGTTAGGTAAGTAACCTCTCTCTCTTTCACTGTTTTGTTTTAGAAGATTCTATTTCTCTTCTAAATGAAACGTGTGCCTGCAGACTTTTTAAAACTTACTTTAGTTTTCTTTTCATTGAAGGAGGCGGGGATGTTGTCGGGATGAAGGTGAGTCCCCCAGAAACCTCCGAGAGGGAGTCTCCTCCACCTCCTGAGGACAAGAGCGGGACAAAAACATTATTACATACTTACAAAAACACCTTTAATATACATACTGGGGACACAGAATGAGATATCATTTGAAATGCATCTAAGTACAAAAAAGTACATTTACTAAAGTTCTCTAGTTAAAGTGACATTTGAGGTACACTTTGACTTATCTTGAGTATTTTTTTCATCCTTTATGAAGCTTTATACTTCTCCTCCATTACATTTTGGAGACAACTATTGTAGTACTTTTTACTTTACTACATGTATCCAACTTCTTAAGGTTCTAGCTAGTTCAATAATAATAATGTATAATATTTGGTTATAAATAAAGCTATCCAGCGGTATTCAAATAAACCCCACCTTTACCGAGCTGAACATTGAAGTGATGAACACATGAATGCATCAATAACTATAACACAATCCTTTAAAACTTAACTTAACTCATTATGAGTACTTTTACTTTTGGTACTTCAAGTATATTTTGATGCTAATACTTTTGTCCTTTTACTTTTGTTAGATTTTGAATACAGGACTTTTCCATTGTTAGTATTTTCCAATAACGTGTCGCTAATACAACATCTGAGTACGTCTGCCATGACTGGTCCACTTGTCATTTTCCTTCAATAGGGCCAGGCCTAAAATGACTCGAATAAAGAATGAATCACTGATCTTTGTAAAATATTTGGTTAAATCTGGGTAAATATTCTCTTTGTTCGAGGTTAAGGGAAGATTAAGAAAGAAATATTTACTGATGGTGGGAAACAGGATTCAAACAAAGGTTGTCAGAGTCCCACCCTTTTTATTGTTAATTGACCCTTAACATGCAACCAAAAGTCACGCAATATTACGTCCTTGCAGTTTTAGAAACTGTTAACTATAGTTTTAATAATTTAACTGTCATTTATATGCATGTATGTTCATCTCTTATAAATGAAAGTCTATCATTCTGCAATTTCTAACCTGTGTAAAGTACCCCTCGACCATCATTGTGACTTATTTGTGTTTAAAAAGAAATATCCATCTACAACATTTGTATAGCAACAGCTTTCCTGGGTAAAGCAGTACATACATATCCAGTTTACTGACATGTTACTTGCAGTACATATATATCTAGTTTACTGACATGTTACTACAGTACATATATATCCAGTTTACTGACATGTTACTACAGTACATATATATCCAGTTTACTGACATGTTACTGCAGTACATATATATCCAGTTTACTGACATTTACTGCAGTACATATATATCCAGTTTACTGGACATGTTACTGCAGTACATATATATCTAGTTTACTGACAATGTTACTACAGTACATATATATCTAGTTTACTGACATGTTACTGCAAGTACATATATATCCAGTTTACTGACATGTTACTGCAGTACATATATATCTTAGTTTACTGACATGTTACTACAGTACATATATTCCATTTTACTGACATGTTACTACAGTACATATATATCCAGTTTACTGACATGTTACTACAGTACATATATATCCAGTTTACTGACATGTAACTGAAGTACATATATATCTAGTTTACTGACATGTTACTACAGTACATATATATCTAGTTTACTGACATGTTACTGCAGTACATATATATCCAGTTTACTGACATGTTACTGCAGTACATATATATCTAGTTTACTGACATGTTACTACTAGTAACATATATATCTAGTTTTACTGACATGTTACTACAGTACATATATATCTAGTTTACTGACATGTTACTACAGTACATATATATCCGTTTACTGACATGTTACTGCAGTACATATATATCTAGTTTACTGACATGTTACTGCAGTACATATATATCCAGTTTACTGACATGTTACTGCAGTACATATATATCTAGTTTACTGACATGTTACTACAGTACATATATATCCAGTTTACTGACATGTTACTACAGTACATATATATCTAGTTTACTGACATGTTACTACAGTAAATATATATCCAGTTTACTGACATGTTACTGCAGTACATATATTCCAGTTTACTGACATGTTACTACAGTACATATATATCTCTAGTTTTACTGACATGTTACTGCAGTACATATAATATCTAGTTACTGACATGTTTACTACAGTACATATATATCTAGTTACTGACATGTTACTACAGTACATATATATCTAGTTTTACTGACATGTGATTGCAGTACATATATATCTAGTTTACTGACATGTTACTACAGTACATATATCCAGTTTACTGACATGTTACTACAGTACATATATATCCAGGTTACTGACATGTTACTACAGTACATATATATCTAGTTTACTGACATGTTCTACAAGTACATATATATCTAGTTTACTGACATGTTACTACAGTACATATATATCCAGTTACTGACATGTTACTACAGTACATTATATCTAGTTACTGACATGTTACTACAGTACATATATATATAGTTTTACTGACATGTTACTACAGTACATATATAATCCAGTTTAATGACATGTTACTGCAGTACATATATATCTGTTTACTGACATGTAACTACAGTACATATATATCTAGTTTACCTGACATGTTACTACAGTACATATATATATAGTTTACTGACATGTTACTACAGTACATATATATCTAGTTTTACTGACATGTTACTACAGTACATATATATCCAGTTTAAGACATGTTACTACAGTACAGATATATCTAGTTTACTGACATGTTACTACAGTACATATATATCCAGTTTAATGACATGTTACTACAGTACATATATATCTAGTTTTACTGACATGTTTGCTGCAGTACATATATTCCAGTTTACTGACATGTAATCTAACATCTTGATCAGAGAGTTTTCCCTCATGGTCCCAATCACCCTCTGTTCGGGTGATTGGGGATCTGCCTTTCCTTTCACACGCCCTGCGAACCTGGAATGAGGCTGCCAGGCGTATTTAACTTAGAACCTTTAACCTGTTTTTACATGTAACATTTTACAGAATATTATTGCTCTTAAATTCCTCTGGCTTCTGTATGTTTTAACTTTAAAATTAACACACATCAAAGGTAATAATTCCTTATAAATAAATAATTATAATTCAATAATATTAGATAATATAGCCTGTTTTATTATGAAATGGGCCATTGCTAATTATTTTAATTCAGTAAGATTTTGAAAGCAGGACTTTGCTCTTATACTTCAGTATAAAAAGACTCTGTTATAAGCAGAGTATTTGTCCAATGCTGTATTTTTGTATGTTTATTGTTGTTAAAATACTTGTAGACAGAACGTAACGTAGCCATTCCCGTACAACTAACTGCTTCCACATGTTATGCTTTAAGGAAAATGCAGATTACTGGAGCAATTTCAGACACATGGTCGTGGTATTTGGTCTTGTTCAGGTTACAAAAAACAGTTTAGCTGATTTTTTGTTCTCAAACTCTGAGGTAATACTAGAAAGACAAATGAGGGAGTGTAAAGTCAATCTTCTCATGTAGCTCGCGCACAGAAAGACTATATGTTCCTTGATTACTTAATTATACATCAGCAAAAACACACACACACACACACACACACACACACACACACACACACACACACACACACACACACACACACACACACACACACACACACACCACACACACACACACACACACACACACACAACACACACCACACACACACACACACACACACCACACACACACACCACACACACATCACACACACACACACACCACACACACACACACACCACACACACACACACAACACACACACACACACACACACAACACACACACACACACACACACACACACACACACACACACACACACACACACACACACACACACACACACACACACACACACGTTTCTGATTGAACATTTGAAAGGTTTCCAAGATTCCTTTTAAACATCAGCATTTGTGTTTGAATCCTCTGTTTAGTCCATTGTATCTGTCTCTGATTAAAGGCAGAAATATAATGTAGACATTTTCTGACTTTAACAATCCACAGATTTTACTTTTAAACACCCACAGGCCGACGCCCTGAACATGTGTTTACTTAATTACTAATGAGGTTTGGTTTGTGTTTGTGGAAGAAGAAAGGATTATAATAAAGGAGTGCAATATTAAACACACACTAAGGGTAGGCGCTATTTACACAACCTGCAGCGTGTCTGTTTAAACTTGTATTGTGGTCACAAAATTATTAAAGATTAATATAAATGCACATAAGGCGCTTTCACACCGCAGTACTTTTCCCACAAAGGTTCATGAGAACTTAGTTCATGAGAACTCTTTAGTTCTCATGAACTTAGTACAGATCGCGTTCACACCGGAATAAGTCCCTGGGGGAGGATTAGGCAAATGAAGCCGCTGACGTCACTTCTTCTTCTTCTGCTTTGGGTTTACTGGCAGGGCCGCAAACAACTTCACGGCGTATACTGCCACCCGAAGTCCCCGGCCGGAAGTCCCCGGAGTTTGGGGACTGGCTTCAGTAGAAGCTTGCTGGGACTCCCAGCAGCTTCTACTGAAACCTTCAGAGTAAATCGCCAGAACGCCGACACCTTCCTCATCTCCACCGCTCCCATGTTTTCTTTTGTGTTGCCATAAGTTAGTCTCTCTGAGTTTGTGTGCGCTGGGCTAATGCTAATGCTAATAATGCTAATGCGAGGATAATAAAATGGCGGCAATCACAAAACTTTTTGGGAGTTTTACGGGGCGTGGTTTGCAATCCGCCCAGCCAATCAGACATAGGAACCTTTTTCTCCCACGAAAGTCCCTGCTCTCTAGCAGGGACGAAAAAGGGGGTAAAAAGGTTCTAATGAACTAATTTTAGTTTCGGATTTTTTTGTTGTGAACGCAACATTTCGGAACTATATCGGAACTAAAGTGGGAAAAGTACTGTGGTGTGAACGCGCCTATAGTCCCTTGATCCTCCTTAGAAACAGTCTGTTTCTCCTTAGCAACGGTCCTGTTAGCAAGAATGACTGTAACAACCTATGGACTTTGACCAATCAGAATTGAGTATTCAACTAAACTGTATCACCAAGCAAAAAGCAATTATTAGGAAATCGCTGAATACAGGCTGGTTATTTGAACCCCAACATTGCTTCAAAAATATATTTAAAAAAAAACCACCTAACAAAACCACCTTTAATACTATTATAGTGGGAAGAACGCATCTGAAAACCATAATAGAGAGGTTTAATCTGGGCTGTTATCACATACAGCTCTCTGTATAACGTCTGATAGTGGAGACTCCCAGAAAACACAGACAGACTTTATCTCCTCTCTCTGCACGAGTCTAAAACATAAAGTTTAAACACAATCTTCCTGCTGCTGCATTAAAAGTACTACCACTATAAATATAATATATAGATACCCTGTTGCAAGTAAAACTTCTACATTGAAAATGTTCCTCCAGTAAAAGTGTTATCAGGAGTTACAAATGTCCCAGGCTAAAGTACAGAATACATATCTCTCAACATTATAACTAATATTTTTTCAGCTGACATTTTATAAACTTTGAAAAAATCGTGATTAGTTTAGTAAACTGCCAGCTGTCAGAAACATGTTGTGGAGTGAAAGTAGAACTTGGCATGAGAAAATAATAATCAAATTAACACATACAAACACCCCCCCCCCACACACACACAACACACACACACACACACACATACCTTTAAGATTTCTGGTCCAAAAAACTCCATCAGCGGCGGCATCCTGACTTCCGTTATCACCACCCCCCGTGGCCTCCGCGATAATCTTCATCAACCACCCCCACCATCCAGTTTAAACCTACACACACACAACACACACACACAGTTTACATCAGTAGCAAACATAATAAACAAACCAGAAACTCCTGCGTCCTGCAAGGTAAAATGGCTGTTTTTGTGAATTTGAAGTAAAGAAAGTTTAAAGGTGGATAAAACATTCTTAATATAGCTTACACTTCAACGGATATTGATTTTTAAAGGTGTCCTTAAATACATCCACATCTACTAATACACTAAAGAAGAATTTCATACACCACGTGTTTCATTATAATATGAACAGTAGCTTTTCTGTAATCTTTGCTGACACACTAACAAATAAAACCCAATAATTTGCATTATGGCGCTCAAAGAGCTGACTTTGAGGAAAAAAAACAAGTTTAATTCAGTAGTCTGAATCAGTTAAAGTCCAAAAAGGTTTAAAGTAGAGGTATTTCATGTCTTTGTTATCTGGTTGTGACAGAAAGTGGTGATAAAACACGCTTTTTAGAGCCACATGGTGCAGAATGAGAAAGCAGTGAAAAATATAACAGGCCTATAAACGACAGCAGCGCGTAAATATGACCGGTGGGAGGCGAGGTAAATCCTCCTCTATCTGCCCGCCGTATATTAGCGAGACATCAGGAAGCCATTATCTGCCTGCGTAATTTAAATGCCTGTAGCAGCATCAAAAGGGGACACATAAAAAGAGCCGATGATAGCCGCTCTCCCCGTGCGGGCCCCAGACCAAATGGGCCCCTATAAATGCATGTGTGATTAGTGTGTGTTCAATCTAACATTCCCCAAACGCGATTAACTCATCTGTCTTCGTGTCGTTAGTGTGCAAAAAAATGTCTCTCGAAATGTCTCGTGTGTTGAAAGAAAACACGTCACATTCCTGGAAGGCAGCGCAGCGACAGCGGGAATGTGACGACGCTTTTCTTCTGTGAGCACTTTGTGACTTCAGGAGAAGGAGATAAATGAGGTGCTTTTAAATCTCAATACATCATCGGCACATTCACTCAGGTGTGTGTAGATACACCGCAGAACCCACAGTTCCTGCAGAGAAACATGAAGTGACTTTTTAGAGGTTAAAGGTAGGGTAGGTAAGAATGGAGAAACCAGCTCGAGTGCGGCTAGAAATTTGAAAGTACACAGCCGGAAAGAAATCTGCCCCTTCCTTCAGACTTCCTTACAGAGCCCCTCCTCCAACACACACAAACGCGCACATGACCAATGAGGGCACGAGATAAGTTTGTGCACAGATGGAAGGCTGACAGGCAGGTAGGCCATCCAGTTATTTTAGCAGGGGCCGGCTCAGATGATTGGTCGTGCTTTTTACAGCGCCACGGGCTTCCACAGATGAACATTTTTTTTAATGTATTTATTGTCAAAGTATTTAATGTATTCATTGCTATCGGGATGTTAAGAGCATTCCATGGAATATAACAAAAAGTGTTTCTGAAGTGAAATTACCTACCCCACCTTTAAAGGGCAGGAAGTCGTTACATTTCATTCTTCAATATAATCCTTTATTTGAAACCATGTCGGTTTGCACAGACAAGGAATTTGCTTTGGTGTAATGGTGCATACATAAAACACAGTAAAGAGAAATACGAAATGAATTAGAGCAGATATAGAAATACTATAAAAACTACTGTAGAAACTACTTTATAATTAAAAATAAAAACAAATGTTTGCAAGAAAAATTAATATAAATACGGGAATAAGAATATGACACCTTACAGTTAAAAAACATAGAGAAATGTGTGAAGTACATCTGATTTAAAAGCATCTTTTAGTGCTAGGAAAACTGGGATATACAGTAGTGACATTTTACTTTCAATTTGTATTACTTCTCTTGGTGACACATTGAATGTTTTCTGTTTTCATCCGACAAAGCGTAAAAACATACATTTTCTGTTTAATCAGGATATAATGTGGACGATTATTTCTTGATAGGCTGCAGTGATTTTACAGAAAGGCATGAAACAGAAACAGGAAATGAGGCGTATGGGCGCAGTGGAATTAGTGTGTTGGTGTTCGGATCAGGGGGTCACAGGTTCAAACCCCACTGCAGTCAGCATGTCGTTGTGTCCCTGAGACACTTCAACCCAAATTGCTTCTGTGGGGATTGCCCACAGTGTTGAGTATGTAAGTCGCTTTGGATAAAAGCCTCTAACAAGTGAAAATCCAAAATCCAAAATCCAAAAGGTGACGAAAGTTACATGACATTACATATGTAATGTAATGTAACTTTCGTCACCTTTTGGATTTCTTCGGGTTCATGTTCTTGCATGTTTTGCAACGAGTGCATTTTTTCCATTTTTAAAAGGGTTGTAAAACTAAACTTGGATCATCCCCTTGGCGATCATGAAATGAAATGCTCTTTTTACCATCATTTTATTATTTATTCTCTATAATCCATTCCACATGTTGTCTTTTCTTTTTCTGTATGTTGCTTTTAATTAATTAAAGTTGTTTTGAATTGAAAATCAGCTTGCATAGACATGAAACTTGTTGCAACTTTTATTCACTTTGACTTTTAAACCATACTAACACATGGTGATAGACTTTAAAGGTATACAATAAAGATTGACTGTACTTGTCTCATTGTAGACATCATAAATCAGGTATATAAAACCTGCAGCCTAATCTCTGAAATGGTCTGGTGTCCTTTAGCGTTGAGCTATTATGCCCCGACAATCTGGAACAAACTGCCCGAATCGTGCACGTCCGCTGAAACACTTCCTATTTTCAAATCCAGACTAAAACATATCTATTTGCCGCTGCTTTTAATTGAGCTGTTCATACTCACACTGCAGTATGCCTGTTATTCATGTATTCTGTACCTGCTGTGTTGATTTATTTATTTCATTATCTTTGCTTTTTTATGCCTGTTTTTAATGCCATTTAATAATGTGTTTATGCTGTATTTATTCTTAAATGTCTTTTGTTTGAATTGTCGCGTGCTGAAAGGTGCTATATCAATAAAATGTGGCCTTGCCTCCTTGAATGCACCAACAAGTGTTTCTAAAACAGTCCCAGCTGTCCACTGCCACGAGACACATGCCACGCTAACTCAATTTACAAGTTGATTTTAATTTCAATTATACGGTGGCCAACAACGGCAAAATATTTCCATTGGGAGAAATGTGCTGCAGACTCAAATTTAGAAAATCCAAAACAATACATGCTATGGAAACTGCTGTGAAGAAACATGCAAGAACAAAACAGACAGATTTATAGCAAGAAAGTCAACTCATAAATCTTTTATAAAGGCCAAATGTACTTCCCTTTATAAAACAAACACTCTCTTGGAAAGTCTACTTCTTTGGTTCTTAAATCAAGCGCTCCCGCTCTCCGAGGCCTGGAGACTTTCAGTTATATGAGTTCTATTTCAGTGTTTGTAACATTGCTAAATAAAATGTTAACATGTTTGCTGTTAGTGTTTTTCTTTTGACTTTCTGCAGCACAGTTTTCATTTATAGTATTTAAGGGGGGATGTGTTTTTTATTTGACTTCGCCACTGAAGCACAATTTCTCCTTAAGAATGTATTCGGGGTTTGCAAGCTTATTTGTCCTTGTGGTTGCCAATAACATGAGGAGGGACATCCGAGCAGCTTCCGAGGTACAAGGGGATTTATGGGGGTGAAAATCCGTAAGAATCACAGCTTCACTACTTTTCTCTGCACACTAAAACGGCCCCTGACGGTTTTTCCCTGTTCATCTTGTTTGGTGAGATTAGGTACAACTCATCAACTCAAGCGGTAAATTAGGAAACACAGGACTTTTTTCCTTTTAAACCACCGAAGAACCTATAAGCTTCCTGTTGCTCTCGACATTACACAACAGTCCTATTTCCTTAAGTAAAAAAACTGCTTTGATCACTGCTTTGATTTTGTTGTGGCAACCGCACACTGACACAACCCCCACTAAAACAGTTTTTAATGATCTGTTTATTTGCAGATTAAACAAAGGGGTTTATCATTCATCAGAGAGCGTTCTAGTCTGCTTCTAGTCTTTATGCTATGATAACTGCATCCTGACCGACATGAAGTTTAAATCTAGCTGATCTAATAAATGTATTTACCAAGAATGTTGAATTACATTTTCAAAGCACAGTTCATTATACATTTAAATACCTAAATAATGTACTTGCAAAAATCAAAAAGACTCTCACCACTCTATGGTTTGACTTGGATATAAGTGGATAGAGATTAGTAAGAATTCATCAATGAGCCAATGAGAGAACTTCACCCAAATTAGTCCAGTTTTTTTTTTCCTGAATTACAAAACCTAATTGTCTTGACGTCATGGAGTAAAAGAGAAATCTGGAATCCCCTTGTAAACATTGGCTTTATACAATGTTCAAAATTTGTACTAAAATGATCACACATGCATATCTAAACTAACATTTCAGAAAGGTTACAATACATAAAATAATTGTGTTAATGTAAGTTACAAAATGGGGAGGTTTTCATGGTGATACACTGTATATTAGTTACATTTGTTACCCTATTCACCTGTAATGTGTACAAAATGTTGCATTTTACAATAATACCTTTAAAGGCCGTTTAAAAGTGTTTTCTCCTCTCTCAGCAGAAGTCCTCCACGGTAACACTGCACTCACCAAACCTTTCAGTGTAATTCCTCTCTATATTCTGAAGCTTTTAACAACGGGCGTTGTTCACATGTCATTCAAAGCCTGATTATAGAGCTTTTTACTACAAACAACGGGCTGAAAATGCATGTTTCATGGCTCATGACAGTATATTCTGAATTATTCTGATTCATAGAGTAATATGAAGACATATCCAAAACTGTAAACAGGTTGGAGTCATTTGGACAAAACAAACAAGAACTTTGAACACGGCTTTATCCAATGTTCACATTTCTATTCAGGAATTGTATGCAAATGAGCACAATTTTAACAACAAAATGGTGCATTTGTATATTTAAAACATAAGATTTCAGAAGACTTGTCATACAAAACATATTTCTCTCAATGTAATGAATAAACTAGGGAAGTTTCCTAACGATATATATTAATAATGTGTTCCATACATTACATTTAGCTGACGCTTTTATCCAAAGCGACTTACAATAAGTGCATTCGACCAAGAAGATACAAACTAGAAGAAAAACACAATCATATAAGTACATCAGGTTTCATAGAGCCAAAACAAAATGTTCCCCCCTATTCCCTTGTAGAGTCACTCACCACATTGGGGGTATGCCACCAGCACGATGTCCTCCTCTCGGCCCTTGAAGTTCTCCAGAGCCTTGAGGTTCTCCTCGGGGGAGAGAAGCTGCGGGTACAGCACCCCTTGTATCTGTACAGCTTCTCTCATCGCTCACGTCCTTTGCCCTCTGCAGACTGGACTGCACGTTGGTGTTCATCCCGATTCAGTACACTGTGGAAAATAATCAATTAACTTCAAAAAATAACCCACAAAAGAAAAAAGCAGGAAAAGAAGGAGAAAACGCTGATTTCTGTGCAGCTCAGCGTCCATCTACAGCTGCCCTGCGAGCAAGTAACAGAGAGAGGAAGGGTGTGTGTGTGTGTGTGTGTGTGTAGTAAAATGAGGAGGCACCAGGAACCGCCTTCTTTTACTACTAGACAACACACCTAGACACACACACACACAACAACACCCACACACACACACACACACACACACACACACACACACACACACACACACACACACACACACACACACAATATGTTGACGTGTGTGAAAGTGGTGAGAGATCCCTGTACAATGTTTACCAGATGGAGGGGCCACACACACACACACACACACACACACACACACACCACACACACACACACACACACACACACACACACACACACACACACCACACACACACACACAGATTGTGCTTGCTTTTTTTTGTTGCAGCTCAGAACCAGACTCACAGTCATTGGACTGCACACACAGCAACAACCAGACCCAGAAAACCCCTAAACCCCCAAATCTGTAGGTAAGACAAGTATAAACCTCCCCCCCATAAATCTTCAGATAGGAAACAGAGAAGGAGGAAACCCCGGGAGAGGAATTCCTTCAACTTCCTCAGATGGTTGGGGGTTGCAGAGACAAGTGACTAAGGGCGTTGTGCACACGGGAACGTTTGCGTTTATGCACAGTATGCGTTTTCAAAAAAGTCTTCCGTTCCCATGCATTCGTTTCATTTAACATGTCTGTTCAAACGAGACTGCTGGAAACGCTGGACACGCTGTAGTACATATGCCGGGACTGTAAGTGGCGCTGTGAACTTCCGCCACAAAATACACCAAAAGCAAGCGAAGAAGACCCTGAAGCAGCCCGGAGCAATGTTGCCATGGCTACCCTTCTGTTTATGCCCCGCGGTGGATTTAGCAACATGTAGTTCATGTAATTTCTCCATGTCCACTTGTTGCTGATGGTTGTGGTAGAGGAGCTGTTGATTTTGGCACTAACATCTTGTAGCATGGTCAGTAGCAGTAGCACTAGCAGTAGCTACTGACAGGAGGAAGTGTGTGTGGGCGATTGCTGGTATTCAGCGGGATATAGTCATTTCCTCAGCATGTAAATATATGGATAAATGCAACGGGGAAGTTAACTGAAAGAAACCGAATCTGTGGGATATGGCATCGACCGACCAAGAAGCACGTCTTCGTGGAGAGGACGCGCTCAGAAAGAAAGATATTTGTTACGGTTTTGTATTTATGTTTTCATTTTCCACCTTTGTTTTGAAATGTTTCCTCCTTGTGTCTTCTCTGTTCCTCTCTTCCTGTGTTTGCCTTCCTGTCGTTAGTTTCCCTGGTGTGTCTGATTGTCTGATTGTGTTCACCTGTTGCCCTTGTGTTTCTGCCTCCCCTTACCCCAGCTGTGTCTTGTCTTGTGATTACCCCTCTCTGGTATTTAGTCTTGTCTTCCCCTGTGTGCCTTGTCGGTTCATGTGTTTGTTTTTCCTGTCTCCCTCCATGTTGGTCACGATCGTTTTTGGTATTGTATCTTCCTCGTGTTACCTATGTGTTTTCATGCCATGTTATTTACGGTTCATCAGCTTTTTTATTAAGCTCACTTTTGTTTGAAACCCGCTTCCCTTTTAATCTGCATTTGGGTCCTACCTTTTGCCGAACCTTAACAGAATGAACCGACCAAATATGGACCCAACGGATATTGAAGATTTTGAGTTAGATCTGTTCGATCTAGACTTTTCCCTTCAATGTTATTATGCCGAGTGGAGTGGAACCTCGTCAAGAAGGGACAAAGAGGCTATCCTCAAGAAGGCACAAATGGAGGTGTCTAACATGCCATGGCTGAGGGAGCTCGTTGCCTGAATGGCTCAGAGTTTTTTCGCGTAGCCCTGAGTGCCATCTCCATTCTCTGACCCTTTTTTGGGATCCCGCCTGGCGTTTGGAGGTCCACGGAGCCTCCAAAAGACCTCAAAGAAAACGCAAGGTCAGGAAGCCAGCTCGTAATCCATACCGGCCCACACAGCCATGGATCCGTGCCACTAGTACCCGGCCCACACAGCCATGCTTCCGTGCTCCATTACCTGGCTCACACAGCCAGGGTCCAGGCTTCTGTTCCGTGCCCAGCAGCCATGGTCACTGCTCCAGAACCGGACCTTACAGTCATGTTTCCGTGTTCCAGTGCCGGTCCACACAGTCATGGTACCGTGCTCCAGTACCATCCCACACAGCCATGGTTCTGTGTTCCGGTTCCGTGCCCAGCAGCCATGGTGCCTGCTCTAGTACCGGCCCACACAGCCGTGGTTCCGGCTCCAGAACCGGCCCATACAGCCATGGTTCCAGCCCCAGTTCTGGCCCCAGCAGCCATGGTTCCGGCCCCAGTTCTGGCCCCAGCGGCCATGGTTCCGGCCCCAGCAGCCATGGTTCCAGCCCCGTTCTGGCCCAGCAGCCATGGTTCCAGCCCCAGTTCTGGTCCCAACAGCCATGGTTCCGGCTCCAGAACCGGCCCATACAGCCATGTTCCAGGCCTCTGTTCCGGTCCAGCAGCCATGGTCCCGACTCCAGTTTCGGCTCCAGTACTGGCTCCCCCCCCACTCCAGCCCCCCGTGTTTTGTCAGTGGTTCGGCCCACTCCAGCCCCCCGTGTTTTGTCAGTGGTTCGGCCCACTCCAGCTCCTCGTCTCCTGTTGGCTCTCCGGCCGACGCCAGCCCCCCGTGTCCTGTTGGCTCTATGGCCGACGCCTACCCCATGTCCTGTACCGTTGGAGGTCCCGCCGACTACTCTTCTGCCGGGGGTCCTGCCAACCCTATGTCCTGTGCCGTTGGAGGTCCCGCCGACTACTCTTCTGCCGGGGGTCTTGCCAATCCTATGTCCTGTCCCGTTGGAGGTCCCGCCGACTACTCTCCTGCCGGGGGTCTTGCCAACTCCATGTCCTGTCCCATTGGGGGTCCCGCCGACTACTCTTCTGCCGGGGGTCTTGCCAATCCTATGTCCTGTCCCGTTGGGGGTCCTGCCGACACCTGCTCCGCCAGATTTCCTGCCTACACCATATCCTGTCCTGTTGGGGGTCCCGCCGACACCTGTCCCGCCGGGGGTCCTGCCAGCTCCATGTTCTGTTCTGTTGGGGGTCCCGCCGACACCTGTCCCGCCGGGGGACCTGCCAACTCTGTGTCCTGTCCTGTTGGAGGTCCCGCCGACACCTCTTCCACCGGGGGTCCTGCCAACTCTGTGTCCTGTTCCGTTGGGGGTCCAGTCGACACCAGCCCTTGCTCCATCCGGGGTCCCATTGACACCAGCCCATGTCATGTTCAGGATCCCGTCTACGCCTGTCCCGTCGGCTCCGGTTCCTGTCCGGCCGATACTGGGTCCCTGCCCGTCCTCCGGAGTTTGTCCCGTCAGCACCTTCCTGCCCGGCCTCCGAGCTGTCCCGTCAGCACCTTCCTGCCCCGGCCTCCGGAGCTGTCCCGTCAGCGCCTTCCTGCCCGGCCTCCGGAGCTGTCCCGTCGGTGCCTTCCTGCCCGGCCTCCGGAGCTGTCCCGTCGGTGCCTTCCTGCCCGTCCTCCGGAGCTGTCCCGTCATGGCCTTCCTGCCCGTCCTCCGGAGCTGTCCCGTCAGCACCTTCCTGCCCGGCCTCCGGAGCTGTCCCGTCAGCACCTTCCTGCCCGGCCTCCGAGCTGTCCCGTCAGCGCCTTCCTGCCCGTCCTCCGGGAGCTGTCCCGTCGCCGCCTTCTTGTTCGCACCTCGAGCCCGGCCCCCTGAGTGCCGCGGTCTTCGCCCTCTAGCCCGGCCCCTGACTCTTCAGCCGCTGCCTTCGCCCTCGAGCCCGGCCCCTTGAGTTCCCCAGCCTGGTCTCGCCCTCGAGGCCCGGCCTCCTGACTCTTCCAGCCACTGCCTTCGCTCTCATGCCGGGCCCCTGAGTTCGCCCGCTGTGGCCTTTGCCCCTTTTTGGACTCTGCCTTGCCCCCGGGCCGTCCGCCAGGGACCCCTTCCGGGCCCGTCCTCCGGGCCCCCCCCCCCCCCCCCTTTTGGTCCTGGTTGTGCGTCCTCCTCCGCCCACCCTTCTAGAGGTTTGGACTTTTTGGGGTTTTCTTGGGACGTCTGGAATCCGTCCCTTGAGGGGGGGGTTCTGTTACGGTTTTGTATTTATGTTTTCATTTTCCACCTTTGTTTTGAAATGTTTCCTCCTTGTGTCTTCTCTGTTCCTTCTTCCTGTTTTGCCTTCCTGTCGTTAGTTTCCCTGGTGTGTCTGATTGTCTGATTGTGTTCACCTGTTGCCCTTGTGTTTTCTGGCCTCCCTTACCCCAGCTGTGTTTTGTCTTGTGATTACCCCTCTGCTGTATTTAGTCTTGTCTTCCCCTGTGTGCCTTGTCGGTTCATTGTTTGTTTGTCCTGTCTCCCTCCATGTTGGTCACGATCGTTTTTGGTATTGTATCTTCCTCGTGTTACCTGTGTGTTTCATGCCATGTTATTTTACGTTCATCAGCTTTTTTATTTGAAGCTCACTTGTTGTTGAAACCCGCTTCCCTTTTATTAATCTGCATTTGGGTCCTACCTTTGCCGAACCTTAACAAGATTCTCTACAAACACCGGGTTGAGATCGCTCCTCTGGGACACGCCGGTCCTCTGTTTCCTTTTTTGTGTGGATTATAGCCTGAATAGGCCTACAAACATTCTCTTTTGCTGCCGACGGGCGCAGGAGCAATGAACAATAATGGCCTGGATTAGGCAGTAAGACAATTTTGGTGTATCGCAGAGCGACTGTTTTAATTTTGTTTGTGTTGGCTGGAAAATTGTCAATATAATGGATCAATGCTGAAATCTGACTGTTTATTTTGTTTAAGGGAGTATATTGGGCGTTAACAATTCTGGTTTGCCTTTATAATATTTATTCAAGAACCCCTTGTGGCGTTTAATTAACACAGCTATTTTAGATAGTTATCGCTACAGATGGCTACTGGCCATGCTACAGCAGTGAGCATCAGAGGTGGGGGAGAGGGGGGGCTATCGTTATATTTGGATTTGTTGGTTTCAAGTAAGTAAAATGCCATATATATATAATATATATTTTTATCAAATGTTTTTATTCACACACCATT